CATACACATATTTAGCGCAAATAAAAATGCACAACTTCAGGTAAAGTTCCAACAATAGATCTCTGAAGCTAGAAGCTTTTAACGGTCACTTAAATTTGGCTTCCATTTACTTTTTGCAGCACATATATAGGATTTATCACTGCAACCTAACTTCCAGGGCTACTAAGCACCTGCTGTACAGCTTCACACCATACTGCATGATGGACTTCACCAGTTAGAAAATTCCTTACTAAAGATAAGCACATAAATAAGCACGTTTCATGTGCACGATGGGTGTTTCCACCCGATTTAATTTAATTCATGAATTGCGCTAAAGCATTGTGTTACACAGAAGAAAATAGTCTACAGCAGTGTAACAAAGGGACAGTTCACGGGTCACCTCATCCAGCTCTATTTATATAGATCAGCCCTTTATTTTCATTGTACATGAACACAGAAATTATGGGTGCCCTGTTCACCATAAGCTCAAACGTCATTCTGTTCTAAAATGCTCCATTTAAGGCTGGGTTTTAAATACTTTTGGCTCTTTGTCACAAAGGCTCCACCCACCTGCTGTTCAAATACTCTCTGTACAAGGAGCAGCAAATAAATAACAAGCTGGCTCAAAGAAAACCAAAATGAAAGTTTGTTACAAACTGCGAACCAAGGATTTGCATCAAGGTCCAGTATAAGGTAATTTAATTAGATTAGATTCAGTTATTAGTCATGCAGAGCTACTTTACTAGAGTCTAGGAACAGGAATATGTGCACAGAAATGAAGAAAATAAGCCCTGTTTCAGATTAACCTTTAAAACAGAAAGAAGGCCTCCTGCCAAACATACTGTCTGGTGGTTCGACACAGAGGAATGTAACAGCGGAAGGCTGCGGAAAATGCAGAAGGAGAAATATGATCTCTCTTGTTTGGAAATGAAGCCTTTTAATGGATCCATTAGGACATTCTGATAATAAGAAATTACTATAGTCTAGCCAATGTGTACCAAATGCACAAAGTTGTTTTTTAGCATCACTCTGAGACAGGAAGTTCCTAATGTAGACAGCACTGTTTAGATGAAAAACGACTGTCTTAAAAAATACTTTTTATGTACAATTAAAGGACAAAAATAGATCAACCCAGTAGTACTGGACGCCGAGGTAATGCCATCCAGAGTAAGGTATCTGGCAAGACACCGTGTCCCCTTCGGACACGAGTAGAA